ACTTCCTCTTTCCCCTTCACTGCCTCTGCCCTCTTGCATTTTGCCAGTTCTCTTGTGAAGACATGTCAGAAGGAGCACAAGCATAGGTTATCGTAGCAGTCAGTGGTTTATGAAGACTTGGATTTGAAATGGGAAAGCAGAGTCCATTGTGGTAACCCAGATTTCGTCTGGATCTCACTCAATTTTGAGTCATAACAAGTGAAGCTGCCATAAAAGTCTCACAGTTAGGATTCCAGAACTACTGTGAACTAAGTAAAAAATGGAATAAATTGATATAGCTTCGTGTTTCTATCTGCAGCCCACTCAAAAAAGAGTATGTTACTATACATGCTAAAAACACAATCACAGTGAATTGTTGAGGTTTCATTGCATCCTCTAACTTTACCCAAATAGTTTCCTGTTCCGCACATTTAGGAAGAAAAAGAAAGGAATGCATTAATGTCATACTAGAGTCAAAGAGTCTACAATCTTAGTGTTTCTAAAATTATTAGGACAGCAAGTACGTACAGAAAATAGAAATTGAGTTGCTACCTTTATCAATCAAGGTGCCTAGGCTAGATTTCAAAGCAGTATACAAGTATTTTACATTACTTTTTGTGTACTGTTCTTTACTCGTGCTGGTCTCTCCATTGAGATGAAGCACATGAGACTTGTGAAGCTGCCTGACCTTTTCATGAAGCTGCTTGACCCTTCTGTTCCCTGCTCCCCAACATCCGTTTCATTTCTGTTCAGAAATGGTCTGTGCTCTGCACAGTTCAGCCTTCTGCTGTGTGAATCTTAGGCTGACTTTCATGAACACTGAACAGTGCAGTTCCAGATATCTGCTATAACCTTATCTGAGCTCGTGATAGCTTTGGTGCTGAGAGCATTGTAATCCTGTTACGGAATGATAATAAAAGGTAGTAGATTTTCTGACTGAATGTAATACATTTTTTAGGTGTTTCTTTTTTTCATGAAGATAAAATAAGTCCACCTGAGGACTATATCGGGGAAATACAACCTTCCTAGCTCAAAACATACTTTAAATAAATTTTTGATTATTTGGTTCTTCAGTGCTATTTTTTACATATGTGACCAAGCATAACAAAGAAAACTATTAATGTAGAAAAGAAGGTAAAAACAACAACCACCCAAACTTCTCTTGTCTGTTATTTTTCCTTTTCTGAGGAAAAAAAAGAAAAGTTTTGAATGAGGAGATATGTGCCTCATGTGACCACACTGATTCAGGTGGCTTAAGCAAATGCCCAGAAGTCATGTATGTCTGAGACTGGCAATGGTCAAAACTAAGGTCCAGTTTGGCTTTACAAAGTTCTTCTTATGGATGACTGTATTCATGTGTGAAGGAAAATCAAACGTCTGATCGCTTGTGGTCATTCGTAGTTGAATGTGGCATTTCGTGTGAATTCATGTGAATTGTGGTGTTTTGGGGGTTTTTGTTTTGTTTCCAAACAAGATGTGTTTATATGCGTGCCTTTTGCAACTTGGAGTGTGGTGATTAATTCCAGGCCACTTAATGAGCCTGCAGTTTCAGTAGTTTTCATTGTTGAAATCTGAGGCAAATTTTGCCTGTTATCAAAATACCATATTTTACAAGGAGATACCGATTTACAGCCAGAGTGGCATGCTTTTATTTAATTTTTCAGTATTTCAAAAAGAACTGCTGAAACCACTCACCAGAGGTCAAGCACTTTGTTAATCAAGTCCCTGCTTGATGGTGTGAGATCATGTGATGGCCTCTTGCTACATTCTAGCAGGACTGTGATTAGTGAAGAAATTTTCATTTATTTATGGCAGTTCTTGTAAGCACAGTAGACACTCTTACTAAGCTAGACTTGAGAGTCTGCAGCACACAGGGAAACTTTCTAGTGAAGGTCAAGGAGACCTAAGAAAATTTTTTTTCCGGTGGTTTAGACACCAGAGGCTGTAATATATCTGATATTACACAGGGCCTCTGGTGGTCTAGTGGTTAGGGTGCAGCACTTTCACCGCTGTGACCCGGGTTCGATTCCCAGCCCCCCGGGCAGATGGAGCTCGTCAGCCCTGTAAGGCAATCCATCTAAGAGAAGGTCACTCTAAACAAACCTACGTCCTGGGGACCTCACTGCCACTGTCCAAGCTCGCTCGGCCCCGGCAGATGAACCTCAGGATTAAAGGGTGGGCTCAGTTCAGCGCAAGCTGAGTCTCACCTAAAAAATCCACTGCGCAGGCTCGAAGGGTTAATGACCTTTCCCAAATCTTCGCTCGCGAAGACTGGCCATTATTATTACATAGCTCTCATATAATAGAGCCATAAGGTAGCTTTGGACTTAGAAGACTGTAATAAAATATATCTGTGATTCAACTCTAAGCTCCAATAGTAACCATATTGCTACATCCAGTTAGCATTTTTTGTTGAATGCCTTCTCAATGTCAGAAGTCTTTAAGAAGCTTTCGTGGTTTCTGAGATTTTGTAGCTAGGGGAAAAATTACATAAATTATTGGGTTTGGGGGCTGATAAAATACTATTTGTAAGTAGACCAAAATGGAGACATTAACTCATAATGAGCTGTGAAGAACAGCGCTCCCACACAATTCACTCTTACCAAACCATTCCCCTCAGAAGAGGCCAAAAATGAAAGCTGTAGTGGGGTCCTGGGTTTTGAAACACTGCTGGGTGGTAAGTGCAAAATCTGTTCCTTATATATAAATTTGCTGTCATGAAAAAAAGGCTGCAAACATCTTTGCTATTCTCTGTACTCCAAGAGTTTTAACATGTATATTTAATGGAGCACTCTGTCACTGTTGCTAGGTGATTGACAGAGACAGCCAGAAGATATGCTACATTATGGGTTTTTTCACTTATTTTTAAGCAATTTTGGAAAAAATCAGGCTGTACTTTAATGACTTAGTCCCTGGTTTGATTGCCTTAGAGTTTTTGTACGAAAGGAAACTAAAAGCAGACCGCAAAATGCCACGACCCGCGGGGAAAAGGAATGGGGTTGGGCACTGCAAAGAAGGGTTCTTCACACAGTGGAGGTCGAGGAGCAATGCCAAACTTTATTGAGGGAGCAACCACTTATATAGGGTAGGTTTAAGGGTGGAGTTTGGGCTAGGGAGGAGCATAGGACTGACAACTCAGGAAAGAAGGCGATTGGATAACTGGGTAAGGAGGGGAGGAGTTTGGGAATAACTAGGGGAATGGACCAATAACAGCTACCTCTGCACTGCACCAAACACCAACCAATGGCAGGCAGAGGAGCAGGAAAACAGGGAAAAAGCGGGAAAACTATGAGGGGAAGAGGGAGACAATATGGAGGGTGATTTTAAAAACAACAACTAGGGATATATATAACAGTACAACAACACAATAATGAACTGGGGAGAACTGGGGCAAAACTGTCACGTCCATGGGGTGTCACATCCGGTATAAAAGAGTCCAGTTCTGTATACAAGTGTCCATTCATGGGTTGTAGATTTTCCTCCATGCTTCATATCTTTGCCATTCTGCTTCATCTCTTCCAACATCTCCCCCTTCTTTACTTTGTTGTAAAGCAGCGGTATTGGCTTCGATGGAACTCAGTAGCAGTTTGCGTAAACATAAAATCAAACACGGTAAAATGGTACAGACAGAAACTAAACCAAAAAGGGATAAAACGCATAACATGATAAGTTTTTTAGACCAATGGGGTAAATTTGGTAACTGGAGCCAATCAAAGAGGTTATCGAGGCCTCCACCTTTTTCCTGGCGAATTTCTCCGACCAGACCTTTTAGCTGGTTTTTTTGGTGGATCGACTCGGCATGGTCGGAGAAATTCATACAACACATTCCCTCAAATTCTTGGCACCCGTGACTGTGTGCCAAGAGAAGGAAATCAATGGCCACTCAATTTTGTAAACTAACCTCTTTTAACTTTTGGGTGTCCTCCAGCAGGCCCTCAATCGCCCGAGTGGTAGCATTCGCTTCCTTAGTCAACCAGCAACCTAAGTGCGTCAGGAGAGAGAGGGCATGCGCGGTTCCTATCCCGGGGATAGGGAAGGACGCCCAAAAGTTTTTGACCCTTGACCAGATATGAATGTTAGAATCACAGTCCTCTGGGAAGGGTAGAGGTGTGGGCCAATACTGAGGTTTGCCAACATTCATATGTGGTGCAGGGAGAGAATTTTGGAGTCGAATCGGTTGGGGAGTGATCCTGGGCTCAGATAGGGGTTTTGGGACGGCGGGTTTGGATCCAGGAAATTGGAGGGGTGCACTCATCGCGAACGAGAGGGACCTTTTGACTCGATTTTTTGAAGAAACCAATTGATTTTCTAATTGAAACTTCGCCGGGTTAAAAAGGGCTAACTTTCCTACTGTGCAGGGACCCCCTTCCAGGTAGGCCCGAATGCCAGGCCACGCCCGATCCCCGCACAGCAAGAAATACCCTTTTGGGAGTCTCATATTTCTTGGTACATGCTCTGTTGGCACGGTGGTCGCCAACGAGCTGTTGCACCACGGCGAAGCAGTCCCTCTGTAGATGGGTTTATAGGGAGTTACATCGTGGGGTGTAAACAAAATTAGTTGAGTATATCTATGAAAAATAACGCAAGTTGTGGAGGGTAAAGAACCAAGAAGATCGATTTCCTGGAATGGGACGTCTACAAAAGTGAGTGCGGAGATGGTCTGCGCCAAGTTGGGGGAGTTGAGTGGTAGGGGTCCTTTGATCCGTGTTTGGGAAACAAACGCGTTCCATTCAGGTGGAGTGATGGGGATCCCTACCAGGCACGTCCTAAATGGACTGCCTGCGCTGGTCAAGGCCAGGCACAAGGTGTCCGTACCAGTAGCCTTGGCCAGCGTTACCCACAAATTTTCCGCTGGTTGACTCATCCACTCTCTTAATGGTGTCGCGCTGGTCCGAGGGATGAGTCCGACCGTGAGGATCAGGAGGAGATGGTGAGATGGCAGCATAGATGTCTTCTTCTGTGTTTTTCTTCTCTAGCTTTGAAAGATCTTGATTTGGCGAGCAGGGACCCACTTCGGTCCTTCAGAACCTGAAATACATGCGTAGCCCTTCCCCCAGGTGATCAAGGGGAAAGGGCAGCGATGGAGAAACTGTTCTAAAATGGCGATCTACAGGACTTTTGTTTAAGTGAGTGTCTGATTCCTCCATCATATTTAAAAAATTTAAAACATACATTACTTTCTCTAATCTTTCTTGGGGAGACAGGCCAATACTCCCCCCTTTTTGTTTTTTAAGTAGATTTTTGACATTTTGGTGGGCACGCTCCACTATACCCTGTCCTGTGGGATTGTGAGGGATGCCAGTGGTATGTTGTATCCCCCATTGTTCAAAAAACTTCTTCGTGTCTGCAGACACATAGGAGGGTCCATTGTCCGTTTTCACTTGTTTGGGGACACCCATCCTTGCGAATGCAGACAGGAAGTGTTTTTTGACATGGCTACTTCTTTCTCCAGGATGCGCGGTGGCCACAATCATTTTGGAGAATGTGTCAATGGACACATGTACATATTTTAGCTTGCCAAATTCAACCACATGAGTGACATCTGATTGCCAATTTTCTAAGGGTGATAAACCCCTCGGGTTTGTTCCCTCAGGAACAACAGGTGAAAATGTTTGGCAATCAGAGCACGCTTTTAGAATTTCTTTTGCTTGGGATAATTTTAGGCCAAATTGTTTTTGCAGTGACCGCGCATTCTGGTGGAAGAATTCATGTGAAAGTTTCGCCTGTCGGTATAAGTTAGGGGTTACAGCCATACCTGCCAGATGGTCGGCAACTTGATTTCCCTCCACCACAGGACCGGGTAAAGCGGTGTGTGACCTGGTGTGGACAACGTAATATTCGAATTCTCTTTTTTCTATAAGAAACAATAATTTGGTTAACAGTCTGAATAAATTTTCGTTTGCCACTTCTTTCAAATGTGAATTTTCAATTCTCTTGACCACACCAACGACATAGGCCAAATCTGAAACTATGTTAATCGACTCACCACAGAAAATTTCAAAGGCTCGCACAACTGCTGAAAGCTCTACTATTTGGGGAGAACCCTGTACTTTATGAATATCTTGGTGCCAATCATCTTTTTCTTTCCAAACTACAACTGCATTACCTGTTCTCCCCGAGCCATCGGTGAAAACTGTCTTTGCATTTTGAATAGGTATTTCTGATTGCATAATTTTTAATTTCACTGGAATTTGGACTAGTCTTTGTATAAACGGACACGCCGGGAGGTGTAACCTAATCTCTCCCGGGTAGCCCCCGATGGCAATTTGAAAATCAATAGAGCTTTGCAGCAGTTGATCTAGATGTTCAGAGGTCAGGGGGAGATAGATGGAATTTGGCTCTTCCCCACTGAGCTCTAAACACCTAGTGCGACCTTTGGATATTATTTTGCCAATCATTTCTACTATTGTGGTGATAGTTTTGCCAAATTGATGGGGGAGGAACATCCACTCCCATAAACAAAAGTCTTTGTAGTCGCTCATAAATTGGCCCAGGAGGGCCAAAGGTTGACGTTGTTCTCGAAGTACCACTAGGGAGGATGGCAGTCCCTCCATCCTCCTAAATGCTTGTCTCTGCGATAACTTTTTTTCGACAATGGTAAGGGCCCTCACTGCTTCTGATGTTAAAACCCTGGGAGAGGACAGGTCAGCATCTCCTTTTAGCAGCTCAAAAAGGGGGTGCAGATCTCCGGTTGTGATCCCCAGCACAGGTCTGATCCAATTAATAGCTCCTAGTAGCTTCTGGAGGTCATTCAAAGTGTGGACTCTTCGGTCAATTTCAATCATCTGAGGCTTTATAGCCTTTTTTGTAATTTGGAGTCCTAAATACCTCCAAGGTGCTTCCCTTTGTACTTTCTCAGGGGATATCGCCAATCCTTTTTCTTTTAGAGCCAAAATTGTTGAATTTAGAGTCTCGTCTACTGCCAATTGAGATTTGGCGCAGATCAACACATCATCCATGTAATGAAAGATGATTGACTGCGGGTACTTCTGTCGAATGGGTCTCAACACTTCTACCACGAACATCTGGCAGAGCGTTGGGGAATTTTTCATCCCCTGGGGAAGCACTCGCCACTGGAACCTGCGGTGGGGTTCACAAGCGTTGATTGCAGGGACTGAAAAAGCAAATCTGACCGAATCAGCTGGATTGAGAAAGATATGAAAAAAACAGCCCTTAATATCAATGACCACTAGGGGCCATTCAGCAGGGAGCATGGATGGTGAAGGCATTCCCTACTGGAGGACTCCCATTGGTTCAAGGACTTCATTGATTTTTCGCAGGTCCTGAAGAAATCTCCAGGAACCTGAGGATTTTTGTATGACAAACACTGGAGTGTTCCAGGGACTGATGGAAGACTCCAGGTGTCCTTTTGCCAATTCTTGATTCACTAATTCGTTTAAAATTTGCAGCTTTTTGTACGGTAGGGGCCACTGATCAACCCAGACTGGCGTTTCTGTTTTCCAGCTCAGTCTGGGGAGCTGCAGTACTTCAGTGACCCCTCCTAAAAATTTTCACCTGGAGACAGGGTTCCCAAAACGAGCTCCCACTGCTCCATTGCGTCCCGTCCCCAAAGTGTAACTGGTATATTTAATACATACAGTTGCAGAGTCGCTGGTCTGCCCTCTGGCCCATAGATGGTGAGTACCTCTCTGCTCCTGACAGGGTATTGGGTTCCCCCCACACCACTGACTTGAACATATGCTGTTTGGGCTGGCCACCCATGCGGCCAGTCCTTGGAGGCTATGATTGTAACGTCCGCCCCCGTGTCGAGGAGTCCCTCCACCTTGACTCGCTGTGGTTTCCTAGGCTGTGAGAAATAGATGAAACAAGTTAGGAGAGGGCGAGAGGTTTTAACGGTTGTGGTCCAGAGGACCTCCCTCTGTATCTTTTGCCTCTGCTCCTCATCCGTGGACATCACGCACAGCAAGTCTTCAGTGGAGATCATCTTCGCCACGGGGAAGCGGTCCTCCAGCTGCACAGGGGGAAGATGAACAATTAGGCAAATCGCAATGTTGGAATGCGTCAACCCCGTCAGGAGAGTAGGCACTACTACAATGCCCTTACCAACTGCCGAAAAATGAGATGTTACCAGGTATGTCAAGTCCGGGTCGACCGGGGCCGATGGTGTGACCCTGGCCAATTGCTCATAGGAGCTGAGATGGGTGGAAGGGTGCATAACATTAAGGATGATCCAATTTAAGGGTTTACACTGCTCCCTGGTAGGAACAGGGTCTGCCAGAGGTAGCTGGATTACGGGGTAGCTGGGCGCGGTGGTTGGTGCAGGATGGAGCGCAAGTGGGGGGCAACTTGTGTCATCGCGCTCCCCTGAGCGCTCAGCTCCCCGTTTCCCGACAGCTCACATGAACACCGCCTTAAGTCTGGCAAAGATGAAAAAGTGACCCGTTTCTGAAGTTTTGGTGACCTTTTGGGGGAAAGGGGTTCGCCATTGACATTGGTCACCGAGCGACAGCTTGCGGTCCAATGGCGTCCCTTTCCGCACCTGCGACAAAGAGTCTTAGGTAAGTTTGGCTCTGATGTAAATTTAGGACAGTGTTTACGAAAGTGCCCTTTCTCACCGCATTCGAAACAATGTTGGGGACCTGTAAAGGCAGTGGCCATTAGACGTGCTTTATGGGCGTTGGATCCAACGTTTTTACACGCTTCAATCATTTCCAGCAGAGTGGGATCTTTCAACATTTTAAAAACTCTCTGGCAGTCCTCATTTGCTTTTTCTATTACCAATTTATTAAACAAAATTTCTTGACTTTCTTTCTGGTGAACCTGCCGAGCAATTGCTTCTTTGAGCCTAGTTATGAAATCAACAAATGGTTTTTTATGCCCTGATTGATTATAGTGAAAGAGGGCGTTTGCACATAGGCATCAGCCACTCTTTTCACCGCTTCTAACGCCAATTCCTTTGTGGCATTTAACAATTTGGGGTCAAGATGTATCTGATCCCCTCTGCTGGAATAATTTCCTTCCCCATAAAGCATATCCACAGCTTGCCTAACAGAAATCCCCCTTCTCTCCATCTTCTCGTTTACAAATGTCACAATCCGTTTCTTCCATTCAGCCTCAAACACAGAGGCTTGAACGGTAGTAAACAACCCCCCAATAACCGCCCAGATGTCATAGGGTATGAGGGTGTATGCTAAGAAAAAGGACTCCAACAGGCCGATAGCGAAAGGAGCCCCCAACCCATATTCTACAATTGCCTTTTTTATGTCCTTTAGCATAGGATAGGAAACCGGCCGCCATTCAGGAGCCTTTCCCTCCTCGAAATATACTGGAAAAGCTTTTAAAAACTCGATATCCTTTGCGCGCGCGGCCTCCTCCCTGAAGGCTTCCCAGATATCTGGAACGGAGGGTTGCCTTTCAGGGGAGCGCGGCGCCCAATCATAGTCCGAATCTGATTCGCGGCGAGCGGGGTAGGCCTTGGTGGTATGCGGCCTATGGGCGCGGCCATTTTGACGGAAGGAGGATTTGGCCTTTGCCCTTGCCCCACCCACTACTTCCTGTCCCTTCCTGATGGGTGACACATCGGGGGAGGAGACGGGACTGGCGGAAGTAGGCGTCGTTGGAGGCGTATCAGGGGAGGGACTTCTTGCGCCACGTGTGGGTGGAGAGGGAGGCGGTCCGAGGGGTGGAGCTACGGGGGCCCGCCTTCTCTTTTCCCGCGCCGATCTTTCGCGCGCTTCACCCTCCTGCCTTTTTTCTGGGCGATCCCGGGGTCCCTCCTCCTCGACGCCATTTTGCGTTCGCCGCGATCTCCTCTTCCGCGCCCTCCTGCCATCTTGGGATTCACTGCCCGTCTCCCGCCCGCCATTTTGTGTGCCTTTACTGTCAGTGTCCCGCTCGGTGTGTTCTGCCTTGTCTGTAGGGAGGCTGATGTTCTTGTTCATCATTTGGTGCTGTAGCACCATCAGAACAAGCCTCCATGCTATAAGAGCTTGTTTGGCAATTCTGTCGCCCCTGTCACTGTCTCGCCAAAGGCTATAGCCCAAGGCTTGCCACTTTTCCAATCCAAGGTCATCCATTATTGTACAGCCCTGGCGGTCTAACCACCTGGCGAGCGCTTTGGCTGATTTCTTGTCGAGCAGATGACCATGCTTGATGACAAAATCCTTAAGGCGACGGTACACAAACTTCTGGGAGGTGGAGAGGGTTAGACCCATGATGTTAATCGAGTCACTCAACACCCTCTCAGATGTTATTCCTCCCTTTTAAACTTTCTGTTACAGGGGTGACGTGTAGGGTGAGGGTAGTGGGAATGTCCCCTGCAGCTCACCTTATTCGGCGTGCGACCCGTGCGACTGAAGGAGTCCACAGTCGTCTGCTTTGCAGGGGAGGGCCGGCGGAGCGATCTCCCCTCTTGGAGATGCTTGAGCCCAGCTGGTGACACAGGAGTTCTCCTGATTCAGGAGACCTCCACTGTGCCCCACGTTGGGCGCCACTTGCCACGACCCGCGGGGAAAAGGAATGGGGTCGGGCACTGCAAAGAAGGGTTCTTCACACAGTGGAGGTCGAGGAGCAATGCCAAACTTTATTGAGGGAGCAACCACTTATATAGGGTAGGTTTAAGGGTGGAGTTTGGGCTAGGGAGGAGCATAGGACTGACAACTCAGGAAAGAAGGTGATTGGATAACTGGGTAAGGAGGGGAAGAGTTTGGGAATAACTAGGGGAATGGACCAATAACAGCTACCTCTGCACTGCACCAAACACCAACCAATGGCAGGCAGAGGAGCGGGAAAACAGGGAAAAAGCGGGAAAACTATGAGGGGAAGAGGGAGACAATATGGAGGGTGATTTTAAAAACAACAACTAGGGATATATATAACAGTACAACAACACAATAATGAACTGGGGAGAACTGGGGCAAAACTGTCACGTCCATGGGGTGTCACATCCGGTATAAAAGAGTCCAGTTCTGTATACAAGTGTCCATTCATGGGTTGTAGATTTTCCTCCATGCTTCATATCTTTGCCATTCTGCTTCATCTCTTCCAACAACAAAATATAATGACTCTAATGAATTTGCACAGGACTGATAATGGACTGAAGAAACATTTCTCTTCAAACCTTCTCTGGGGTTCCTGGCCCCTTATTTCTGCTCCCCCAGAAGACCTTGGGCAGGCAGTACTTTTCATATCCCCTCTTGGGAGTGCAGAGCCTGACTCTAGCCAGACTGGAGTATCCAGACCTGGATACTGAAATTAAAGACTTAATAAAAGCACTGGTTTTGTAATACATTGAGATGTCCCTCATAATATAGCTCAAACAACTCCTCAGTGATCTGCAGGTAGTAATTACTTGTGTCTTTCCCTCCCACCAGAGATAATGACTTACATATTTTTTACTAGCACCACTTTATGCTCTGGTAGTGCCAATCACCATTCTTTTTCAAGTGCTCTAATTATCATGGTTCCATTAACTCAGAATAATTATTCATGTTCTGCATTTATCTTGAAATTACTGCTGGTTTGTATATGAGGTAACAAAATATACTTGGACGAATTTCTGGTTTTTACTACAGATACTGGTTGGCTAATGTAACATTCCTAGTAACCTTAGTTATCAAATGATGGTTAATTTCTTATTTCAATCCTTTGCATTTATTTGTTTCAGCATAGGTGGACTTGTGGAATTATTGCACTGTTTTGCTTACTGAAATTCTTTCTCAGAAGGAGTAGTGTCCTATGTTACACGCAACAAATAAAATCTTATTGTTAGGGAAAACTCATCTATGAATTTTAGCAATTATAACTACCTTTTGCAACAGACCTTCAATAAAGATTGAAAGCTCTTCTGAGAAATAAAATGATGCTATGCATACACTGTGTCAACACAGTTGTTTCAATAGTCCCCTCTGTTCCTGGCTGTGAATTGGTGTTTGAAGCCCATACTGTGTTTCCAGACATGCTGTGCATGCATTTCAGTCTCCTTGTCTCCCTGTCAGTAACTGTCTTTCTAAGAGCAGCTTTGCTATGCCACTCTTTCCTGCTTGTAATCAGTGATTTTAGCGGATGCAGAAGTTGTTCTGTTTGGTTTCTTCTTCATAATAGTAGTATGAAACTTCTAATGCTTCTTGATTGGATTTTTAGCATTTAAGTGGGTTTTTTGAGGTTATTTTGGAGCAAGATAAACATTGTGTCAGGAGCTGAAGTCGCCATGGTAGTACAAAACACACTTCGAGAAACATCAGTTTAGAACTTCTCAGTTGACAATTCTGTAATGTAATTAGCAGTTAGCTTAATTTTGCTGATATAAAGATGGGCATAGATGTCATCAGTAATTAATAAACTCACTGCTGTAAATAATGCTTGGCTTGCTCATCGCAAACACTGTATCATCACTCATTAACTCCAAGCAACAATATTCAACACCTTTGAACAGTCTACTTTTTGCTTTTTTTTGTTGGTCATGAAGGAATATGCACATATATACACAGTTCGAAATTCTAATTTGATTCACTAGTAACAAGCACTGTTATGTAGACTGGAATTAATTAAACAGCACATTAACTTTGTGCACATCCTGCATCTTGAAATCGCTGATTCCTTCTTTGATGCTTCTAATATGAAGAAGTGGCCTTCAAATATATATAAAGAGTCCTGATAATCTCAGATGGCAATTTCTAGGTTGCCAATTAAAACTCATTCTGGTTCATCTGTTCAAGGCATGGGGAAGGAGCAGGAGAGGAGGAGGGTGAGAGGAGGAGGCTCTACCAAAAATTGAGGCTGAAGTTTAGTTGTTTCAGGCAGAGATCTATTGTCTACATGAAATTAAGTGCCTCTGCTGTGGTCCTCTCACAGTTTCATGATGTATGGAAAGCATCAAATACATTGCTTAAACTTTTGAGATCCATATGGTAAAAAACACCATAAAGGTAGACATAGATCTTTCAAATGAACACACATCTCAGTGCCTTCTGTGTAACCACTTCTTCACATTTAAATAAGGATGGAAAATATGTTGCTTGTGCAGAAATGTTGTTTATGTCTTATGTAATTGGAATATCAATATTGCTTTCATGGTATTCTTTATGGCCAATAATGAACACAATGTTCATAAAAAAAACCCCTACCTACAGACACAATACTACCTGTTGTTACCCACCAAAAACCTGTGAAGGCAATGCTCTGTAATCCAAAATGAGGGGAAAGCCAGACACTCTA